GGAAGCCTACTCGATGAATGGCCCTGGGGGAAGGTACGTGTCACTCAATAGATGCACGAGAAAATAGCCAATTTGCAAATTCTCTACAAGCGCGCTGGGCGTTAGATCCCCGATGTGCCTTCTTCGGCATCGGATGAGCCTTGCAAGGCTGCTCTACAAGGCCCAAAAAATCAACTAGCAGTTTAGATCGAGGCTCTCAAGTATCTGCCGAGGTTATATACCCGCACCACCGGACGAGGTATCTCGTCCGACGTCGCTTCACATCGCGGCGTTTTAACATGCACGCCACGAGAAAACCATATCCACCGCGCGCATCATTTAATGTATGAGGCAGAGGAGAAAAATGTTTGTGGATAAATTAGCAAGTTCATTATGAAGCTGTGAGTCAGCTCTTGCGCACGATGCATGAGCTGTGCGAGGATCTCGATCACGATAGAAGCAGTAGCCTGAGTCTGGTCGATAATGAAAATCTTCTCTCCTCAATAGGGGGGGTAGCCAGTTATATTAAGCTTTTTCCTAGCTTAAAAATGAGCGGGCAGAGCGTTGTCTTCGCGACAAGCAAGTGAATTTTCGTCGATATATCTCACGACTTCGCGGGAAGAATTGTAAGCTTCAGACGCGGGCTGATAGTCAACACCCCGAGCACAAGTTTCTCTTGGAGAAGCTTGATCACGAGGGATTTCTTCATCAGAAAAAGTACCGTACTGGTAAAATGTCCTCAGGCGACCAACGTAGAGCGTAGTATGCGCACGCGTTCTACGTGGCATTTCAACAGTACATGCGTTTGCTAAGCGGCGCAGCTCACGAATTGGCAAACGAACTTGGGTAGTAACTAGTTACTACCCAGGCTAGTCACCATGTGTTGAGGTCGGTTTATCGTATAAAGTAGGTCTAATTCATCTTGACTAAAAAGAAAATTTCTCATCCATTCTTGCCAGCGTTTTTCTTTGGTCGATCCAACATGTCTGCAAAGGAATCTTGCACGAAACAGACGTCAGTTTTTTTAACCAGTATAAATTTATCTTCTGACTCAATGTGTTTGGCTACAGTGCGCTTAGAACAGAATTGCGCTTATGTCAGTGCCTTGGTTAGTAAGAGCACCATCGCTCTTACTTTAATCTTCTTCATTGAAGTCGATGTGATCGACATCGGCGTCACACGTAGTGATATCGTGGTCAATGGTTTATGATTGAGAGCCGTTTTGGCGTTCTCTCGAATCAGTCTTTCCCCCCTTATGCTGTAGTTACACTTAAACAAGATGGCTAGGCGCGGATGGCGCAAGCCATTCACGAAGGATGGTGTATGCGTTGTCGATGAATGCACCGAGTGGTTGATGTATAGTTCCACCATGGGCGATATTCGTTTTAATTTGTAAACGAATGGACGTATCACCAAAGTATTTTCTCAAGAACGCAAATGAGGACGTTTTGTCTGACCATCATGTTAAGTTTGGTCAGAGGTCTACATCTGAGGGCGCGTCCCGAGTAAATTTAAATACGTATTGCTATTATTTAGGAGTGAACCGTTGGTCTCGACCGGAGGCGAGTTTACGAGGCAACCAATGACGATGAAGGATAGTGTCAACAAAAACACGAGCACGTGCCGATGTATTAATAGATTCAGGTACAGCTACCAGGTGTACCATTTTACTGGATGTACCAACCAACACAACATAACAGGCTTTTTATGCATCTGCGGGGAATCCAAATGCATCGTCCATTTGAGATAGATTTCAAGCATTTTGCTAGAATGAGCCAGAGATGCAATGGCGCACGAAGTTTAGGACCAGACTTTACTCGTTGACATACTTCGCATGCGCGGACGTATTTTCGTACCAGTTAATACCGTCGGGCCAGTAAGAGTCTCGACTTACTGGGAGATGTGGCTTCTCTCGACCACGATGCCCACCATTAGGGTAATTTTGGTGCTCATAAATAAAGTGCAGCCGCAGGTCACCATGGTTCGCTACAACGACTCAAGGGGTGTCGCTAGAAACGTCTAAATACCTCACTTAGCCTCATGAGGACTGTATATCTATTCTTGAAGGGTCATTATACTTGGGACAACCCTGAAAGGGATTGACGGAATCGTTGCGAGAGATGATTCATCAAACGTACCATCGCTGGATCGATCACCTTACGTATGTATTCGAGTAAGGTTGACGACGAGGCAAGCGACGTCGATACCGAGAAAGTGGTCGTACCAGTGTCGGATTGTACAGCCAGTTCAAAATTAATCCGGCGCGACAGAGCATCAGCGACGACATTCAGTCATCCGGGATTATATTACAAGAAAAAGCTAGTCTTCGCGAAGAATGACAACCACAACGTCATTTGTTGCGAGAGGTGTGAATTCTTTACGTCCGTGCTAAATGACGCATTGTCCGTGTATCGTTCTAAGGGTGTATCGCCAAGCAGGTAGACCCTAAAAATTCTCGAAAGCATACTTAGTGGCAAGGGTTTCTCTTTCATGGACTGATTATTTACGTTTAGCCGGTTGCAGCCGACGTGACTGATAGAAGATGACACGCTCACCACCATCTGCTTCATACTGAATTAGTGTTTATAAGATGGCACAATCACTTGCACCGCAGACCACATAGATGTTCTGCATTGGTCTGCTATTGCTAAAACTGGTGATAGTGTTCAGCTTTGCTTGAAACCTTCTAAGGAGGGCCGGCATTAGCACTTAATACTCACTTCTTGTTCGTTGTCAAAACGAAAGAGATGAGCAGTCATCTCGGCGTAATTGTGAGCGTATTTGTGTGAATACGCCGCTAGACTAAGACGATTTCTGAATTCTTTCATTTCGGTAGGCACTAGCCAGTCAGTGATCGCCCTGATCTTTTCCAAAGCGGGCTGGATGCCGTGCTTACCAACAGTGCATCCAAGAAGTGGCATTTCGCTAGCAGCACACACACTTCTTGAGGTTGGCATTCAACGTATACTCACGCATCAGCGTAAACACTTTTTTACCGTAAGGTTGGTCAACTTCCACAACCGTCTGTAAATGATCCAGACAATGCACGATATAAAAAAGAAGACTCCTACAGTATAGATCGTGCTCTGTGTATCCCCGTAAAATCATTTGAACAGAAATTTATAACATTCAGCGTTATGTGCAGTAAGAAAATTTGTCATGCGGGGTGTGCGAGACGTACAAGATTCGCGCGATTAGACGCTGCGGGATGGAGCCCTAGTGCCAATTGCGCATGCCTGAAATTAAACGAAGCAGGGATGCTGTGTGTGTGATAGAAGTCGGATTGCTGTGCTTGTGATGTAGACGGTGCGAGCGAACCCTTACTTCTCACCTTAACGCACCAGACCAGACACGAGAAACTGATCCCGGAATGGATCAGATATTCCTTACAAACGTCGAGTCGGTGTTTACGAGCTCTTGCCTCTCAAGACTGATCGAAGCACGTGCGTGGTAATGTGCAGGCTATGGTGCTATACTGATGCGTACAAAAGGGCAATTCTCATTATTCTCCCACAAATGTGCAAAAGTTCCAAAACCAGTACCATTCTCACCTCAAGAATAAATTAACAAGATAAATAAAGCTAATCACATTATGCTCACTGCAACATGGCATAAGAAACCGTGTAATTGCTAAGCAGTCTTACATTAAATAGAAAACTGTCACACGGATTTTTGTGCGCACTCCATGCAGTTCTTGCTGTGCTTGGTACCGATTGCGATATCTTAACGAATGCGTCCTTTTCCCTGTGTACATGATTTTTACTGCCAGCGCAAGAACAGAATGAATAGTTTAGCATCCAGTGGATTGTGCGGAAAACACTAGCGGAACCGCAAGCGTCTGGTGAGAGTGTCGAGGACTACAGCGCAGATGAAGGAGGCGATAGCCTCAGTCGATTTTGCAAAAGCCAACGCCACGCAAGCTGGAATTTTAACGAGGAAGTCGAATTTGGGCCGTGCTGGAGGAGGAGTATATCCCGGTGCTCTCGCGTCTATACAACAAGGAGCAGTGCATTCCATGATGCAGCTCCGCTGACCGGTAGCGTGCACATTGTAAGCAGTACGCTTGATTTAGAGGAGTGTCCAATTGCTTGTAATTAACCATCGTGAATAGAATACGAGTCTCCACAAGCTTCGTATAAACTTCTTTGCGCTAAATAGATCTAAAGAAATCCTGCTGGCTCATGTCACCGCGCAACACACGTGCATATCTATCAGGCAGCACAATTGGCACCGAACACAGCAAGGAATGAACTGCTCAATTAATACACGAACTGACACGGGTGCGCACCACTTGAAACAGTCATCAGCTTGTTGTATGCTAGCCAGTCAATACCCTCGCACTGCGACACATACACACAGACATAGCACGCAATTGTTAAACAGCACACAGTCGGCACCAGCAACAAAAACTGTCCTACTGCTACCACTGCACTTTAACGGTGTTGTGTTCTAACGGGGTCCCCACGATCACGAGCTCGTCGATTTCGTGTGACCGGGATCTGGCTCGCACGCAACGTACTTACTACGGGTGGGCACACCGGCGCGTGAAAGAACCGTTGGTAAACATGAAGCATTTCGCGACCACTCGTGGGATAGTTGTCTAAAAAGTGGAAAGACTCGTTAGCAATCAAGCAGTTTCTGATCCCATGTTGGAGTTGGGTTTACTGTGATTATAACTATCCCTGTTTACATTCTCAACACAAGTATACATTAAATAAATGTTTACTTGACTAAAGTAAAGGACTGGTTTTGGAACTTTTAAACATTTGTGGGTCTGATAATGAGATTTGCTCCTACGAAGAAGAGAGGAAGGTCGTCGAGAGAATGCCAGCAGGACAGTTGTGTCGCCTTTTTGTAGCCTTTTGATGTGCGAAAAATTCAACCATTCATCAAGGATCGCAGCGACCACCCTTATTTAACGAGCTTATCTGTCGCCAACGTCTGACAGTGACATCGAATGTGCGTGTCAATTGTCAATTTGCGTTCAAGTTTGAAGAGCACCACAGTCTCGCAAGTTGACCATGCGCTTCACCGTCGCTGCGTTCGCTGCTGCAGCCGCTATCGCTTGCAGCACCTCCGATGCTGCCCCAGTGTTAGGCGCTCCCTATCAAACCCCCACGCTCTTAACAAGAGGCGCCCTACACGGTGATGAAGAAACTCGTTTTCTGCGAGGGTACGAGACTGACGCTGCTGCCATCAACAACCACAATGCGGAAGAGAGGGGCGTTGCCGCTCTGTCTACATTGCATCCCAATCCAACACTCAAGAACAAGGAACTTCCGGCTGCTGTCAAAGCCCCAATCAGGTTCGTCATGGGTCTCATCAAACGAATTTTTGTCGAAGTTCGGAATCTGCCAAACTTCGCGCCGCGAGTGTAATCAACCACACGCTCGTCTCCTCGCAGGATTAGGGCAACAACGTCATATAAGGTCGTCGAGCGCTAAAGTTGCGATGCGAGCAGTCGATGTGAGTTTTAGAGCAGTTGTTAGCAACAATAAGGTAAGCGATCGTTCTACCACTTCATGAAGTTACGATGTTACTGTCCGTCTCCTTAATTTAATTCCTTGCTTCATTGAATACTGATTCACACATTAGCGTTCAACTGTTTAACCTTTGGCCCACATTTTGATACATAAACATCTTCGCCGCCAGAAGCAATATACTGCAAGAAACGATAGTTCTTCACACTTTATACCCTCCTGTCGATCTCTCTCTCAGCCAGCTCCTTCCTATACCCAGACGTCATTATGCGCCCCGTACCGATTCAAAAGTTGCATACCCCTCATCCGCCTGACCGCTACCACACTTGCACCTCTAGATATGCATATTACACAAGCGCCACTGCTTTCTATAAGTTAAAAGACTGCAATATGTGCAGCTACGTAAGTGCGTCTGCAGTTGCAGTGTCTCGTTAGGTATGTCGAGCTGAGGACGTGAAAAAGACGTCGAGTTTGATGGACTCACTTGTTTTTGTGCTGTTGCTGCTGGTAGGTACATTATCCCGTTTATTGCCATTGCTGGAGCGGACATGCCGCATTACACGACGTGGGACGACGGCTCCTACTCGATAATTGCGCAAACAATTGGCGGCACGTGGCTCTGCGTCTGGGTATTAATTTCGTCCGTCATCGGGAATCTCGGTCTCTTTCTTGCGGAAATGGCCAAGGAGGTTCCAACTTGCTGGGATGGCGGACTCGGGCCTGGCACCGCCGTACTTTGCTCAGTACGTCCGTCTTGCTTTTGCAGCAAACGAGACATGCTTACTAAACTGGTTGGCTGTTGTTGCTGTGTGATTGACATCGTAGACGCCACCCTGATACTGGCGTGCCGCGTCGAGCCATCCTGTTGGCTTTTTTCGTGATCATCTTCATGGGCACTATCGTCACTCGTTGAGATGAGCGCTGCTGTGCGTATGCGCTTCTCGCATCCTGAAATTGATCGGCCGTACCGCGTGAACTTGTCGGACCGTTCCCTGGCGGTGTCCATGGTATTGCCTTTCACACTGGGCGTTTTCATCATGATGAACGAATTGACCAAGTCCTGGAGCAGTTTCTCACCCAATGTAGTCGCGCTTCTCATAGGCTACCTCGCTCAGAAGTATATCGAGCGGCATCCATACCACGAGTACTCGAAGGTGCTTGAAGCATCACTTACTTGATAGCTCGCTCCGAGGAGTTGTCGCGTAATAGAGTGTTTGTTTTGCCACAGCTTTGGTGCTGCTGTCGTCGCGCCGACTTCGATTCATGTTGGCGAGAATGAAATCAATCTATCCTTCGGGATTGCAGTTCAAATGTTTCTTCGAGGTTTTGGAGCGAAAGGGAACTGTCGTATTGAGACGGTTGATCATTTACTCGCCATCGACAACGTCAGAGATGACGTTATCTTCGGGCTCTGAAAATGAGAATTCTTGTACGGGTGAAAGCATATAAGCTTGATGCGTTTACTGTGGTATTTGTGTAGACCTTGGAACCCACGATGATGGACGTTTCCACGAACCTCGTAGTAGCGGAGATCTTGGTTCCTCAATGTACTGCTTGACGATATCCAGGCAGCGACGCTTGTGTCGTGCTGTGCCATGGGTTTGCCACAGAAAGTATAAAGGTGAGGAGCTTTTAGGCCGCCTCTACCTGCTGGATGCCGAATCATGTGAAAGTTCGAATTCGTGTGCATCCAAGCGAAGCGAAAGAGATCGTGATCTCGCTAGAGCTGAAGTCGGCTTAAGGATGTACCTCAACGAGTCCACCCAGCAGCAAGGAATGCAATGCCTTGACCTAGTTTACCAACACTTGGCCTCTCTCCTGTTCGAAAATTGTCAACGGAAGGAACGCACAGAAAGTCACACATCAGTGTCCTTCCTGGTTATAAAAAGTAGTGCGATAGGCATCCAGAAGCCCGGCCAAGAGACTGCGCGGTCACATCGTATATGTCCGCAGTGAGTTGGGTTGTGAGTTGCATAGCTGTCAGCAGCAGGTTTTCATGGTGCTGTGAAGTTTTGTGCAGAATTTAGTGGCTCCCGGTTGTGATGACTTGCAGATAGGCTCCATTTTGCTCACGAGCTCTTTTTCAGCAGCGGTTCAAGATATTTGATTCATCTTCTCGGTACAGAAACTCGACTGGAAGAGTGCAACCATTATACAGGTGCTTGGATCGCTGCGTGCACGCAGAGGATCAGGATCTCCCACACCACGTATGAAATACCCTGGACAGATGAAGTGGGTGGTCCTACTTCTGTCGGTCTACCACGACACTGCGCTCGTGATCTCGCTGGTTGAGGCATTTTCAAACCGAGAATCACGTCGATCGTTCCCGAGAACGTTGTGCACTCTGGTCATAGTCAACGCATTGTGTCGTACGAGCATGGTAGCATTTGAGCACGAATCTCTCGTTTGACTAGCCCAAGACTTGTAGGTGAAAGCGATAATTTCTCCGCGGCTCTCCAGTTTAAAGTGATGAATTTCGCAGAAACTAGAGTCGGAGCGCACAACGATACGGTTACTCGAAACACCACGCGCCAAATGTAAATGTCCACGAGGCAAGCAATCCGCAGTTCGACTCCAGGCTACATATTCATACGAAACTGATTCAACAAGAGTCTCGATAGGTAGCCACAGGTACTCAGCGATTGTATCTTGAGACTCTTGTGTCGCTAGCACAGGTAATTGTGGAGCTATAGATGAAGACTGTACCGCTTGTTTCGACTCTAGATTCGACGCTACCGTCAACGGCTTCACGCTTTTTGCACTTGCTGTAGAACCTCCGCGGTCTTCACATTTTTCCTTTGTCAGATCAATGACAGTCTGCATTCTGCTTGTATTCAGCAAAGGAGACTTGCCGGATGTGAGCAAGATAAGCTTTCTCGTATTCTAGTCGGGTCCGAAAAGCTCCAAGTCATCGCATAAAGGCGTGCGTTCAATATCAAGCTGCTGAGGGTGGACGACGACGTTGTGCATCTCACAAAAGACCCCACACATATTTTTAAATGAAAGGCTGGTGATGTGTTGGTGGACCAACTGCAAGACACTGATAGAAAGAGGAGAGACAGCATGGTCACATGCCTGAAAAGCGGAGACTTCACACATGCTCCTTCATACGTTTGCGAACATGTTCGAACATCGACGGCAGCTTCACGCACTAGCTCGCGTTCGATAGAGTGAGGGACGCTACTCCGAAAAGCCAGAGTTAGTCTACCGCTTTATCGATCACGACAGTGCTGTATAAAGGTGCAACAGCATCGCCCCATCACGACGCGTGTACTTTTGTACCAAGTAGCGGATGTAGTGTGCTGACGGGAACTTCGGAGCAGAATTGCGCGAGGGTGAGGTCACCCATGAGCTTTTACAGCTACTGACTTCCTATTCACCTATCGCTTACGTCTCACATGTACAAGTATTCAACTCGACGAGCTGCACTCTAAACTGGCTTTTTGTGAGTCTGCGGTTACAGACGTGGTTGCGTTCGATGTTGGCGACGTCTCACCCTGCTCCCACACCAAAAAATGCTGTAGTGCTGGTCATAAATATGGCGAATAATATCTTCGTTCAGCCTCAGCACATCCGCATGGTGCGAGTTATCGTAGGAGTAATCTAAGCCATCGTCCGAGTCGGAGCAGCAACCTTCCGGGCAGAAAGAATTGGCACGCGAGCATTTTGGCCATCATCGTTGGAGCTAGACTTACACAGTAGCCAGTGATGAAAGTCGCAGTGATTGTCGTCGATAGATTATTCGCTGTCGTGGCCGTGCTAGTTTTCATCAGTAGTTCCACGGACTTCAGAGTGGATCGTTCACAATGCTACGGCATATACGATCGTAGCAACATGCCGCGGTCGCACCGATACCCCCATGTTGCGTGCAGTGGTTGTGCTCTGTCATTTTCGTGGACTTGCCGTCTCGAAGGGGGCGACGTTGTCAAAATAAAGAATGCTTGGTACTTCTTGCACTCGCTGCGCTCACTACACTCCTAACTCTGTTTGACCTTTTATAGTCGGTCTAGCGTCAGTTACCTGCAGGGATAGATGTGGTGACGCCCAGGACACCGTAACAAGCATTTGGAGTGCATTGTGTAAACTTAGAATCGGTCTATCGCGTGTCGTTGCAGTTGTTTACAGCAAAATCAAGTCAGTAAAGACGATGGATTGCCAATATGACCAGAAAGAATGCAGTGCTGCAACATACTGTGTCTACGACTTGTACTGCTAAATCAGTTTACGGCACATTTCGAAGTTATGCACACGACATTACAACGGCAGAATAGTTGGAGGAATCACTGGAAATACAAGCAATCTCAACGTCCGTACCATGTCAGAAAGCGTTTTTGTTGAAGTGCATTAAAGATCAAGATCTATCTTCATTACTTCTACCCTAGCTTTACATACGCTCAACAATTCCACACCCAAAAAAACACATCTTGGACACCTACTACATTCTTTATACCACAAAGAGGCAGTGACGGGCACTGTCACGTGTTACACGTCGGTCGGTGTAACCATTGAACATGGTGTACGTTGTCGATGGCGAGTAAATGATCAAACAGTCTCAATACGACAGTTCGCTTGCTCCAAAACCTCGAAGAAAAAATTTGAACTGCAATCCCGAAGGATAGATTGATTTCATTCTCGCCAACATGAATCGAAGTCGGCGCGACGACAGCAGCACCAAAGCTGTGGCAAAACAAACACTCTATTACGCGACAACTCCTCGGAGCGAGCTATCAAGTAAGTGATGCTTCAAGCACCTTCGAGTACTCGTGGTATGGATGCCGCTCGATATACTTCTGAGCGAGGTAGCCTGTGAGAAGCGCGACTACATTGAGTGAGAAACTGCTCCAGGACTTGGTCAATTCGTTCATCATGATGAAAACGCCCAGTGTGAAAGGCAATACCATGGACACCACCAGGGAACGGTCCGACAAGTTCACGCGGTACGGCCGATCAATTTCAGGATGCGAGAAGCGCATACGCACAGCAGCGCTCATCTCAACGAGTGACGACAGTGCCGACAAAAAATTGTCCACGCCTAAGATGGTATCGAAGTCGAACATGCCCATGAAGATGATCACGAAAAAAGCCAACAGGATGGCTCGACGCGGCACGCCAGTATCAGGGTGGCGTCTACAATGTCAATCACACAGCAACAGCCAACCAGTTTAGTAAGCATGTCTTGTTTGCTGCAAAAGCAAGACGGACGTACTGAGCAAAGTACGGCGGTGCCAGGCCCGAGTCCGCCATCCCAGCAAGTTGGAACCCGTCCTTGGCCATTTCCGCAAGAAAGAGACCGAGATTCCCGATGACGGACGAAATTAATACCCAGACGCAGAGCCACGTGCCGCCAATTGTTTGCGCAATTATCGAGTAGGAGCCGTCGTCCCACGTCGTGTAATGCGGCATGTCCGCTCCAGCAATGGCGATAAACGGGATGATGTACCTACCAACACCAACAGCACGAAAACAAGTGAGTCCATCAAACTCGACGTCTTTTTCACGTCCTCAGCTCGACATACCTAACGAGACACTGCAACTGCAGACGCACTTACGTAAATGCAATCATTACGACCGTTAGCACCATTGCTTTTGGGTACGTCGTTTTTGGCGATTGGATCTCGCCTGCATATGCCCCTGCTGCATCAAACCCACTGTAATTCCAGTACAACGAACTTAGCAGCCGTCCCCATTCTTGCTGCAGTACAAAATTGACACGACAACAAACTCGGTCATTAGTGCACACCAACACATTGGTATGAATTACCGGTATATCGGTAATGTAAACCCATTGCATAGCATGTACGTACGTCTTTTCGGACGACCAACCAATTTGCAGGTCGAACATATGGCACGGCATAAGCAACGAGCACAGCAAAGGGCAGGAAAATCAAGGCCCCCATGACTAATAGGGTGTGGCCCACGACTTTAATGCTGCTCAATGTCGGCAACATAAAAAGTGCGGCAATCAATGCCCGTAGTGCAACGATGCACCAGGACACGCCATTGTCATCAGTAAGTGCGCTTTTCTCTCCCGTACCTAACGCCAGGAGCGTGTCGACAATGAGACAGGGGTAGATGGCGTTATCAATGACTCCAGAGGTCCAGGACCAAAATCCGACTTGGAAACCCATGGGTCGACCAAAGGCCACGCCGACCCATTTGCAGAAACTGCCGTCGGTTGGAAAGGCGGTGAAGAGCTCAGCGAACGTCAAGGCCAGAGGCAGACACCAGATCCATGGAAAGAGAAGGACCGCGAGGATGCCGACGAGAGGACCGCAGGCTACCAAGATGGGTTCACTGCCCCAAGGTCCACCGCTGACATTGAAGTAGGTGATGAGCGCTACTGATACGATGCCCAGTTGGCGGTGCGAGTGGGATCCAGGCATCGATTCAGACGGGCGGATGGTTAAGTTTGGTGCCGGTTGAGAAGAGACGCACGTGTTTTAGAACAAGGATGTGGGCTGAGAAACATTCGATACGAGAGGGTATGCAGGTATACAGTATGAAAAGAGAGGGATAATCGAATGCACACGTGTCTATTTAACGTTTTACCGGCTTCTGTAACGGGGTGAATCGTTACATAACAATTTATAAGAAATTGTTAATAGAATATAACTATTAGAGTTAGATTCTCAGAATATTGTCTTAAGGACAAATATTCTGTAGCACTTACGAGTAGTTCCTAATTGGTTGATATAGGCCATTATATCAACCAACGAAGACGCGCCACGACAGACGCACGCAATGAGTGGTGAGCAGATAGTTGATATGCACATTTGGATTCAGACATAGTTAGATGAAGATAAATAGTGATTTATTGCAGACATAAACTATGATAAATACAGTTCTACTTTTTACTTTAACCAAGTACTCGCTTCTTCTTACCGTCTTCCTCTGCACGTACGAGTGTACGTGAAGTTGCGAGGCACCGCCTTATTCTGTCATCAGAATAAGTAGCTTGTCCTGTCACCAGTACAAGATTCAGGGTGCCCCGTTACACCTGGTCGCACTTCGTAGTCCGTCCAAGGACCACGTTCACATCCAACATGAATTTGTTGGATGATGAAGATGACCGAAGCTTTCACGCTAAGCGTGACAGCTAATTCCATTTGAGCGATGTCGAATGGGATGCGGTTGAACGGATGAGTTCAACCATGGGCCATCATGCTGTTAGCGTCATGCTAGAGGCTCTCAATAGAGATGCCCAACATGATACTATCGACAAGTTCATTCAAAATGAACTTGACGCAGAACGCGAGAAAGTAGCCTTGCTTCACCAACAAGGTTTCCAACAAGCTGAGTTGTTGAGAGAACAGGGTGCTCAACAGTTTGAACTGTTGAGACAGCAGCAGGCTGCTGCTGGTGGGTCGATGCACTCGCCAAGTATAGGGGAGTCGAAGAGGACTCCCTCTTGAGATGGTTCGTCGAATTGGATGACGCCATAAGGGCGCGTCGCATCGACGACGGGGAAATGCAAGTTGCATTTGCCCAGTCAAATCTGGCAGGACGTGCCAAGACTTGGGCACTGGGGCTCAAGTTGCACGACCCATATGCGTTTGGGTCGTTGGAAGTCTTCAAGTCGCGGCTCAGACAAACGTTTGAACCGCCTAGAGCTGAGTTCAGAGCTCGAACCGAACTCTTGAAGCTCAAACAGGATAAGCGAGTTGTGCATGCTTACGCGCAACATATACGACATCTTACGAGTTGTATAAGTTCCAATCCGGTGGATGAACACACGTTGGTTTCGGTGTTCATGCAGGGTCTTGCGGATGGTCCCGTCAAGACTCACCTGTTCCGGCTTGAACTAGATTCACTAGAACAAGCCATTTCCATTGCGGAGCAGGAAGACTTCAGTCTGAGACAGGCTCGCGCCGGCTCGACATCATATCGTCAACCAAGACGATATGACAGCGGAGGTCCAGAGCCGATGGAACTCTGTTATGTACAGAGCGAGAAGGCTCGCTCTACAGACTACAAGAAGTTGCAGAGATGCAACAGATGTCAAAAGACAGGACACTACGCTTACTAGTGTAGTGCCCCTCGTCCAGTGTCTCGCGACACTGGGCGTAGTGACCGTCCACCCATGAGAAAGGGGCAGGGACGAGGGTCCGCAGTTGGTGCAAAGACGCAACAACGGGATGGACCGTCAAAAAACGGACAGGATCAGTAGGTGCGGAGCACCCTACTGATCCAGCAACGTCAAGAGAATTTGTAGGCCTCTTGATGAAGGTTGCTCCCAACACACAGACGTTGTGCGTTGCTGCTCTAGGTAATGAGATCTCATTCATTACCTTGAAACTCGAAGTGACGAATAAGTTGTCCCTTCGAGCTCTAGTCGATTGTGGGGCGTCCAACAATTTTGTGCGACGCCAATCGCTAGAAGATGGTCACTTTAAATTCAGTGAATGTGACACACCTCCTACGAGGGTGACGGTACGTCTTGCGACAGGCGCATCCGTAACCGTCATGAAGCGTATAGTGAAGATCCACTATACGCTAGAAGAGACCCAATATGACGATGACTTTATCGTATTGGATTTGGATGCCAAATTTGATGTCATCCTTGGAATATTGTGGCTCAGAAGGTACGAACCACGAGTAAACTGGCAACATCGAACAGTAACGATGCCTGCCGCTTGTTCATCAGATGGCCATCTGATGAACGTTTTGGAGCGTCCACAAGCGTGTGGATGTACTACGAGTGAGTGCGATGGCCTCACTTGTGGTACGGTCGTTAGTACGACTGCACAAAACCTTAGTGTACCAAACGGTTACACTTCGGAGCAAAGTTCCGGCGGCTGTGAGGAAACACAGGCTGCGCCGAAGGTCCACCACTCGAATAAGTCGGGTGGACTGGGACAAAGATGTATCCCTAGCGGGGAACATCTAGAAGAGAAAAAATCGATCGCTCAGGTTAAGCGAAACGATAATCCTAGATCGACTGGAGAGTCTTTCGTAGAGGATCTCGCTGTGGTTGCGCAACCCCAGCTAGAGGAAGTAAAGGGAATAAGTCCCAAGATTACAAATACGGCGGAAATAAGTTCCCCGAAACCCAAGGGAATAAGTCCCCGGGAAGCCGAAGGAATAAGTCCTTCGAAGCCTGAGGGAATAAGTCCCCAGGAAATGACAGAGACATCAAATGTCCTAGTCAATGACGGATCAAGTGTAGGCGCTTATACACTTGATCTGATTGCGCCTCCGAAGTTAACTTCGGAGATCACTCAGTTGCCAACGCTCGAACATTAAAGGTTCTTGCGTGATCTGCGTAGTGGCAAAGTCAAGCAGATCTGCGTACTCGTCGCTGACGACGAGTGTGTAACCGACATAAGGTCAGCAACAGTGTTCACTGAGAGCGAGAGAGTTCTCAGTAGTTCATCTATGGACGAGAGTGTCCTAGATGAAAGACACGAATTGAGCGATATGACTCCCAATCATGGGAATCGCTCAAGACAAATCCTCTCTATGAAGATTTGGTTGAATTCGAGGATGTATTCCCTGAAACTGTTCCGTGCGAATTACCGAAGGATAAAGGTATTCGACACGAGGTCGAGCTTAAACCAGGCTCGAAGTACTGTGTCATGAAGCAGTGGCCACTGCCTCGTGAACAAGTACTTGCGATTGACAAGTTCTTTGGCGATCATTTAGCTGCGGGCCATGTGAGGGAATCAACTTCCCCACATAGCTCTCCGACCTTCTGTGTGCGAAAAGCAACAGGAGGGTGGCGGATAGTGCACACGTTCAACAAATTGAACGCTGCAACGGTACCGGCTCAGACACCGATACCGAGGAAGGACGTAATCATTGATGGTATGTCAAAGAGTACCATCTTTTCGTCCATGGATTTGATGGATGGCTTCTATCAAATCCTTATGCGAGAACGGGATATACCCTATACCGCAGTTAGCACGCCTAGCGGCATGCTCTGGGAATGGCTAGTAATGCCACAAGGGCTTAGTAATGCCCCTGCCACATTCAACAGATGTGTATCACATCTGTTGAGACCAGTACGAGAATTCGCGCCGAGTTATTTCGATGACGTATTCATCCATAGTCGAGCTGTGTATGGAAAGTCGGACGTTGAGGTTCACAGGTACCACGTCCGACAGGTTCTTACAATCATGCGAAAGCATCAATTGTATGCAAACCTCAAGAAGTGTATATTTGCAGCAAGCGAAATACCACTTCTTGGGTGCATCGTTGGTAAGAACGGTGTACGTCCTGATCCCGAAAAGATCAAGGCGATCACCGACTGGCCTGTGCCGGTTGATGTCAAAGGTCTTCGAAAATTCCTTGGGCTAGCGGCGTATTTGGATAAGTATTCACGCAACAACGCCGAGATGACTGTACACCTCTCTCGTTTGTTGAAAAGAACGAGAGGTGGTTATGGAACGCTGAATGTCAGCGCTCCTGTGATGGTATCAAGCAGAGCTTGATACAATCCCCAGTCCTAGCAATAGCCGATCAGGACAGGCCATTTCATGTGGTCTGTGATGCCAGCGATTTCGCAATCAGCTGTGCATTAATGCAGTACGACCTAGAAGGCGTTGAACGCGTCGTCTGCTATCAGTCGCGTCAGCTGCAACCAGCTGAGCGGAACTATCCAGTGCATGACAAGGAACTCCTTGCCATGAAGTATGCACTCTCGAAGTTCAGAGTCTATCTATTAGGAGATAGACCCTTCATTGTTTACACTGACCATGCGTCGTTACGCACGGCAGTGAACAGCCCGCACCTTTCACAACGAATGGCGCGGTGGTTGTCATTCTTTGCAGAATACAACTTTACGGTCGAGTACAAACCAGGACGACTTAATGTCGTCGCTGATGCACTCTCACGTCGTCCCGACTTTGAAACAGTCGCGAAACCCAACAGTGAGACAATCACTGTTGCGATTATGACGTCCTCAGTCCCATCTACAACGTTGTATGATGATATGAGGCGGGCATACGCCCAAGATGGTGAGATTGTGAAGTTGTTGACACATCTCTCACAGCCATCTCGAGAATCGTTGAAACGATTGTCGTCTGCGTATCGATCTGCACCAGATCGATACACTACTCGCAACGGTTTACTGTATTATACAGCCGTTTCTGGTGACACACCACGTGTTGTCATTCCAGATGACACTGATCTGCGTTTGCGGATCATGTTCGAGTATCACGATGCTCCTATAGGAGGACATCGTGGCCGGGAGAAAACATATCTCACGGTGAGTCGAGACTTTTACTGGCCCCGCCAGTATCAGTTTGTGCGAAAGTATGTTCGCGCATGCGAAGTCTGCCAACGAGTGAAGTCAAGTCTTTCACTGCGTGCACCTTTACAGCCTCTACCGGTTCCGGCTGAGTGCTGGGAATCCATCTCAATGGATTTAGTCTTCGGGTTACCCAAAGACGCACGCAAGAATACGGGTATTCTTGTATTTGTTGATAGATTCAGCAAAATGGTACACCTTGTGGCTGTACCAGAGTCAATCACAGCTTCTGGCTGTGCTTGTGTCTTTATCGACACCATCTTCCGACTCCATGGGTTACCCCGTAAACTCGTATCAGACAGAGATCCACGCCTTACAGCTGATTTCTGGCGTTCCGTGTTCAAATCACTCGGAACGCGCTTGAAGATGTCGACATCTGATCATCCAGAGTCAGATGGTCAGACGGAACGTGCCAATCGTGTCCTTGAAGAGATACTTCGAGGATACGTACACTCCTTTAAGAGTTGGAGTGAGTTTTTGCCAATGGTAGAGTTTGCCATTAACAACTCGGTGCATGCGTCCACGACACATACACCGTTTTACGTGAATGGCTTGCGCCATCCGCGTGTACCCACCTTACTAGAGTGTAACTCTGGTTTAAGGGGGGGAGGGACTCGCGCAAGCAAAAACCGATTGGGTTCACGCTCATCACGCTCTGACGAAGAGGTCATTGCGTTTGATGCCGATATCGATAACATCGATATCGAAGAAGATGGTGCCAGTGAGAGTGCGGAAGCCCTCACTGAAGAAAAGTTTGATGTTGCTGCAGTGCGCTCACAGCGCACTGAAGCTAACGAGTCATCAGATGAGTTCATACTGGCTCGTGAAAAGGTAGTCCGTTTTGTGCAAGACTCCATCGCCGAAGCGGTGGATTAGCAAAAGCAAAACGCTGACAAGAATGGAAGGGCAAGCACTCTTTTATTTAATAAAGGTGACTTAGTCCTACTGTCTACAGTTAATCTACCAAAGCATGTAGTGACTAACTTGGGTAGCAGTAAACTACTACCCAAGTACATCGGCCCATTTCGTGTATTGCACCGCCTAGGCAACGCATACACGATCGAGTTGCCACGTAAGATGCGAACGCATCCCACGTCTTACGTTGGTCGGCTTAAGCCGTACCATCTGTACGCTGCTTTTTCCGATGAAGAACGCCCTTGCGCTCAAGCATCTCGCAGAGAGCCTTGTGCTCCCAATGGTGGGCATCAACAAGGGTCTGAAGAGCAGCTACCTCATCCCGAGACCGATCAACAATCCCACGAGCTACCCTTAGCTCGTCACGAAGAGATGTCAGAGATCTCTCGTTCTCAAGCTGAGCAAAGGCAAACTCAGCTTGATGCTTCGAGGCAGTGTCCGCCATTTGGAGACGCCTGTTCCGCTCATGTTCGAGATCGTCGCGTAACCCTTGCGTTACGCGATCAAAGAAGCTCTCGGGAACACACCGATCCACATGATCGTGTGGAGAGCGTCTTTCCTCCTCCTCCACCTCCATTAGAGGACTCTCGCGGTGGCCAGCGCTATCTAGTTGAGCAGCTGTTGAACCACCGCGACGTGAACGGACGTCGGACGAGTTATCTCGTCCGGTGGCGCGGCTATCCCCCGTCCTGGGATTCTTGAGAGCCCCGCTCCCAACTGATGATCGACGTACTGGGTCTGGTTGAGCAGTACGACGCGGCACATCCTGTGCCGCAGAAGGACCGCCGGAGAAAGTCTTCCCGGCACGGTCGTAGAGGGATTTCAAGTTGTCAATCCCTTCGTACATCTCAATAGAGATCCGTACGCGCCACCACGGGCTATTAGGGAGGTAAGCCTCCTTAGGTGCTCGTGCAGAGTTGTTCACACAACACGGGCACGATTCTCCCCAAGAGAGGCAGGGTAATCCTTTCTCCCTTGACAGACGATGCAGCTTGTAGCGTGCACCTGTCGGGGTTCGCTTTTCAAACTTATCACGAGCTTTGATAAGTTTGTCGTTCCAAGCGTCACGACCTACATCCTCAAGGTTATGGATGTAGGCGTTCCACGCCTGAAGCAGTGAAGGACCATCACGTTTGTGATTCCCACTGTACCATCGATGTTTGAAGAAAGCATCGATGAAGAATTCATGTTCAGCGCGATAGTTTTTCGCGCTGGGGTCAAGGTGATGGATCCTTGACGAATCGAACAATCGTGTTCGATAACGATCACTCGTCGTCGCCGACAAGTGATCCATGACGGATTTTGGAGGCATCCATGCCTTCTTCTCGGGAGCGAGACGCAAGACATTGCGATCCCGCTCTTCCTGCGATGTGCCGACAGAAGTACTGGCACCTCGCTGTGAAGTGGTGTCCATAGGAGAACCGACACCACTATTAGCGCCCGAGTCTCGCGACCTCGAGCGCCTACGCTTCGGCGATGGTTCATCTGATTCATCAGATGAACCAAAGATGCTACGACGCAGAGCATAGTCCATGCCACGCTTGGCAGGCGATTCGGATTCAATCGCCGTCGATACGGATCCGTCTTCCGCATTAGGAGAATACGAGACACCGAGCTCGTACTCTGTGAAGACATGAGTGTCTTCATGACCAGCGCCTGCATCACCAAGTCACACAGGCTGGGTCGCTTCAGCAACCGATGAGACATCAGTTACTGTGGTTTCTGCTTCGGCGTCCGCACAGAGACGTGCGGACGCGCTCTCGGCGGCCTTGCTCGCGCATCGCATGGGCTTGTTAACCATGCGATGAAATGTTGGAAAGTGGACTCGGACCAACAAGTGCAAACCCTGTCCCAAATGATTTGGGACGAGTATCCATTTCGTCAATCAGTCACTAAAGTGACTGATGGTTAAGGGGGGGTGATGTAACGGGGTGAATCGTTACATAACAATTTATAAGAAATTGTTTATAGAATATAACTATAAGAGTTATATTCTCAGAATATTGTCATAAGGACAAATATTCTGTAGCACTTACGAGTAGTTCCTAATTGGTTGATATAGGCCATTATATCAACCAACGAAGACGCGCCACGACAGACGCACGCAATGAGTGGTGAGCAGATAACTGATTTACACATTTGCATTTAGACATAGTTAGATGAAGATAAATAGTGATTTATTGCAGACATTAACTATGATAAATACAGTTCTACTTTTTACTTAAACTAAGTACTCGCTTCTTCTTACCGTCTTCCTCTGCACGTACGAGTGTACGTGAAGTTACGAGGCACCGCCTTATTCTGTCATCAGAATAAGTAGCTTGTACTGTCACCAGTACAAGCTTCAGGGTGCCCCGTTACAGCTTCAGGATGTCGGATAAACCGCAAACTTAGTTAGCAACGCTGATCGATTACTCATGCAAGTTGAGAGGTCGTTGTACGAGGCTTGTCATTTTCGACGACGACTTTCGTAATTGCCTCGCAATTTGTCTTCCATATCATCGCAGACGTGCTCCTAAGTTTTTGATTCGGCCGTCCTATGATCACGACTGACCGAAGGTGTTTCATGTTAGATTGCCAAAATTCTTCCGCACTGTCGCTTTAGAGGTAGGTCCTCTCGTTAGATTGTAATTCGGTTGGGTTGTATCTACAAGCTTGTAATGTAGATGCTGCTAAGTACCGCAGCAACCGTGCTCATGTCTTGTTCTCATCAGGATGATCTCGCACTGTACATGCCATGTGACGGGGTGTGTCCGTTTCGTGATATTTACTCAAGCATCTGTATCCAGCCACTTAATTTAGTGCATCACCTCATTTTGAAGTGGGGATAAAGTATTTTGCGTCCTTACCGAACACTCTGGAATAAGGGAAGCAAACTCCGGAGCTCGCGCTTTGATATCAGAAATTCAGTTCATAAAATTAAATCAAGTAGAAAAACACAAATTTACAACAGTGGTCACTAAAGATAAGTATGATGCTGTTTCTTTTTGTATCACCCAGTGCAGTTTACTTGGGGTAACGCAATCAGCCTTTGCTGATGAGCGTCTATTTGCTGATGTGACCATTTCCACCTTTGATCAATTCTAAGCCAATCACAAGTGTGCACCACAATAGTGACATAGCCAAAGAGTGACTTCGGATATACCTATTCCTGTGAGAAGGGGACAGGCCTGATCGCACTTAGTACGTATGGGGCACATCTAACCGCATTGTTACAGACACAGACATAAGAACGTTCAAAAGTTCGGCATGCAACCTTGCGCACAGTCACTAAAAGCTTCACCCTTCAGGCTCGCAATAATTGTAGCAGATACTATTTATTGCAAGTGGTGATACTCAGCTCGTTAGTTGATATAGCCCATTTTATCCACCTATAATGCCGGGAAACGACAGACGTACGGAGTGGTTGGTGAGCAGGTGATCTTCGAACGCTTATACATACATAAACATGCTTAAAAGATTAACTATGCTATACGACTGAAAATCACCTAAATAATTCGAGTCTATAATTTACCTTTACTAAGCACCTTCCGCTCCGTACAAAAACTTCTGTCTACACTAACGTGCATATGAATAATTTGAGGATCCTATATACTCTGTGTTAAGTTTTATAGGGCTAGTCTGTGGCAGTACAAGGGTTCATTCGATGACCGCAAGAAAGCTCCGGGTGTTGCAGCGTTACACGTGAGATTTCCTTGCCAAATTCTAAGCCATTCACATTCTCCCGTCCAGTGGCAGACTAGTTTTCAAGTTTCCCTTACATGCGGGCATGCCAGAATGTAGGTTCTATAGTCTATTTTTGTTTTGGCAGCGTTGTACTTGTTGTCGACTGACGTATTGTTACGTCCTCGAAAACGAATTTCGCTCGACAAAGCGAGGCAGATGCCTCAAAAGCTCCACTACATTTTCTCTCCAGTGTTCAGATGTCACATACGTAAAGATAGTATATAGGATGCGGAGAAGATAGCGCGAAGAATGAGGATGCAGGCGAAGCTGACAGAAAGGTCATTTCGCTAAATGGAAAATACAAAGTGAATTAAAAGTAGGTCCCTGGCTCGTAAGTATATAGCTATGTATTGTTCGATTGCTGCAATATTCTACTAAATTATTCACTGGCTTATAAAAATTGTTTTTGTATAACTAGATTGGAAAAATTGCTTTCCAACTGGTTAGTTAAAGCTGATTTTTCTTCTGGTTCGCGACATCTTTCGTGGCGTTACTACGTTAAAATAAAAATTACAATATAAAAAACAGCCTAATTTAGTACGGTTTTGTGTAAAGACCTCATTTTTGTCGAAATTATCCTTCTTCTAACTTCCAGTGATCAATCTAAAGCTAACTTTGATGCATCAACGTGTTAACGATTGGCCTGTTTTAGTGTTTAATCCATCCAATGGATCATGGTGTGGCCATTATCACAACGTTTGCAATGTCCAATTATTGCACGGACGAGTTGCCCTTCAGTCGTACAAGTGTAAGGTTGATTTGACCGTTACGTGTTAACGGTGAATCTTTTTCGCACGCGTCAAATGCGATGTGTTGAGAGCAGGATGATTACGAATATTGTTCGATTCTATAAGAATATTTGTGGAGTTTAAAATGATAGAAAATGGAGGATGGAACTGGAAGCCAATTTGAAGGGTCATTAGACCCTTGCCATGGTGTTAATCTAGATGTTTACCGTCGATAACCATGTTCCCGGCATCGACATTGCTGCATTACATTCTTGTAAGAGTGTGACTTCATAAGGTATCAATTGCACTCATTGCGTTCTTGTTACTTCTTAAAATTTGCATGTAGAACCAATTATCAGGGCTGCCTTGATTATTTTGTTGAATTATGATACGATTGCACTGTCATTTGCGTTGTATAAAAACAACCAAGATCGTCTTTTCGTAGCAACATTTGGTGTAACGGGACTAGATCCCGCTACGTTACTTACACTAAGGTCTTACGAGGAA